CAAAAGTCTAAGAAAAGTGACCTGGTATTGAAAGAGCAGGAAATTCTCTGAGGTCAGAGCTTCCCACCTGCCTAAGGCGTGAAGCCTGCACTGCCAAGCCCATGGGTAACTTTCTTACCCACCATTCAAAGAAAACCGGTAAAAAAAAAAAAAATTAGGATCCTTCAGGCCTTGAGAAAAGTATCTAATGTGAAAGACAGAAGTAAAATAACAACCAAAGAGGGACATAGGGAGAAAAAAAAAAAAAACTGTGTGTAGGGAACAGAGAAAAACATCTAATAAATGCTGCCATCTCCATCTCCAGAACAGTGACACAAGGACATGGTGTCACTTTTTAAAAGAACGCATAAATATGATAAAAATTGGAAGATTTTAAAAATGATAGCAGAAATGCGACAAAGAGTAGAGAAAGTTGGGGAAATTTTATGAAAGTAATTCTCTAAAGGGGTGAAGGGGGATAAGAGGGGAAAATTAGAAGAGCACATGGAACAGAAAACCAACCAATGAGAGCCTCAGGGGCAATAAAAACAAGGACCTGGGGAGAACGTCACCACAGCATAATTGACTTAACGAGTATATCCCAGAAAACCTGTGCTACAGATTTAAAAGACTGACTACGCATAGTCCAGAGAAAGATGAGTGTCCACAGAAAGCCATGGCCGTGTTTCTGACAGTGGGAATGGGTGTGGACCCCCAAATACACGGGACAGGAGAGGTGGATTCTAAATAGCAACCACGCAACACTTCTGACGGAGATGATGATGACAGAAAGGACAATTGGGAAGTGGGAGACATCTCCAAAGTCTCAAGGAAAGGGCTACTGTGCCATGGTGCCCACGGCAGAGTACTCGCTGGCATAATCAAAGCCCTGGGCTCCATCCCCAGCACCCATGGAAAAGTCCCTTAGCAGGCAGATGCTCACACTAGTCTGGCCATTGATTGAGGGTAAAGTGTTGAACAGCAAGAATAACACAGCCAAGCCTTTCCAAAGGTACCTTTGCCACGCAGTGTTTCTCAGAAATCTACACCAAGACAATCCTCACACAAACCCTGAAATAAATGGAAAGCCATGGGAACTAGTGAAAGGAATCCAGTCCAAGACATATCAAAAGGGAATGTACCAAAAAGGCAGAGAGAGCAGCACATAGACATGCACAGGCATGCGCAGATTGTCTGTGTGTTTAGTTGAATATATATCTTAACCAGTTGATTGAATGAGAATGGCTCCCAAAGACCACATACTATTAGAGACTAGTCTCCAGTTGGCTAACTATTTAGATTAGGAGGTGTGACCTTGTTGGAGGAAGTCTCATGCCAGGTGCTCTCCTCTCTCTCTCCTCTCTCTCTCTCTCTCTCTCTCTCTCTCTCTCTCTCTCTCTCTCTCTCTCTCTCTCTCCCTCTTTTTCTCCCTCTCCCTCTCCCTGGTGCCTGCAGATCAAGATGCAAAGCTCTCAGCTACTGGTACAGTGCCAGGAATATATAGTTGCCTTGGTCATGGTGTCTCTACAATATACAGCCATAGACAAGAACTAGGACAATATGTATATATTACATGGTTACCTTAGCATAAGCTAAGTTTCTAAAACAATGACTGAGAGATGAGCCTAGGGGAGATGGCACAGAGAGAGTTCAGTCATCGTTGTCTATGGAAGGAAAGCAATAGTTCATCTAACACTGAGAAAATGTATATTTGCAGAGAATTCAGAGATATGCGAAGAAGTCCAGATGAAGCTGGTAGAGAACTGAAGCTACTCATTGCTTCTGAGAACAAGTGTCGGAAGCAGAGGGAAGGGTGACAAGGGATTGCTACTTTTTGTTATAAATATTATATAGAAGACGGAATTAGCTGATCGGCAGCTCCTTGGTTTCTAATTGGATTGTCAAGACATCTATTTTGATAAATGGGTTCAATTTGAATTCCAAAAAGCTTGCCATGAATCACTCTTACTAAAATCTAAGGGAAGAAACTTCTCCTTCCCCCCCTGACATCAGTGCCAGGGTCACTCATCCTACATATTGTCAGGGGCTAACCCGGCTCCTACCCATCTGCACACACCGCTCAGCTCTCAGAATTCCTCCGTGAACAGGAGTCTGGAGTAGGCTTGCACTGCGTGTAAAGCAAGGTGTTCAGATAGGCTGAGGAAGCAAAAATGATGTACCTGGAATAACTAAGAATTAAGACACTTGTTTAAAGAGGAGCAATCAGGGACTGGAGAGATGGCTCTGTGTTGTGAACATATGCTGCCCTTGCAATGGCCCTGTGTTTGGTTCCAAGCACCCATCTCAAATGGTGGCTGTAACTCCAGCTTGAGGGGATTCAATGCCATCTTCTGGTCTTTAAGGGCATCGCTGTGGAGGCCCAAAAATGTGAGCCTATTTTCACCTTGTCTGAAGGTCAGAGAGTTTCAGCTCACGCAAAGTTGTTGCCTTTTCAAGCTGACCAACCTTCAAGGTTATTGTCTGTTTCTACCTCAGACAAAGGTCCCACCTAGATTTAGGTCAGAGAGTTCTGCTCTCTCAAGGTTATTGTCCATAGGTGTGGCTAATAGCCAGACCTTGTATTTCAGGAATAGAGGAGTAGATCTCTTTCTACCTCAAACGAAAGTTTAAGGATTCAACTAAGTTCCTTCTCCCTTAGAGGGATAACAATGGATTCCACCCAGGGGGTGGTTTGCCTACAGAATATTTTGGTCTAGGGTATGAGTGTTACTTGTCTTGTTCTAGCAGCAGAATATTTAACTAAAAAAATAGCCTGCAACCTTCCACTGGTCTGTTCATTTCCTTGTATCATGTTAATGCTGTTTTTTATCTTGCTCCTACCTTTTGGGGTTGGGGGTATTTTAAGCAAATGGAAATTAAATGCGGGGGATGTCAGTACTCACTGGACTGCCCTCCCGGTACTATCCTCTGCTTCTGTTTTATTATTTCCACTCGCATTTGCATGTTCTTTACTAGCTTTCCTGGTGCTCATGCCCCTACCCTGGGGGTGGTATCTTTGTCGAAACTGGTCTCCGACACACCACCTGCAAACACTTCACACAGACATACACACACATACACAACTGATAATAACAAAAATAAGCATTTTTAAAAGAAGAAATGTAATAGTTTCTTTGCATCTCCTTCAACCCTCCATGTCAGATAGACTTTGCAATAGCAAGCCTACTGACCAGCGGTCGCTAGGAAGCAATTGCAAGAGCCAAATAGGTCATGTCCTGGCTAATCTCATTTCAAATGGGAATTTCTCTGTGATGTATACAGTTTAATGATAGCAACAAAAACTGCCCTTTCTTGATGCTCTCAGGCTCTGGTTATGTGAAGTCTTAACATTTCCTGAAAAATGGGCCATGGATATGTTCATTAGCTCAAGTCTCCCTATAATACAGAGAGAGAGAGAAGAATTCATTACTTGAAACCCTCAATTATTTGTCAATGGATACATTTAAAAGAGGAAATAGCAGTACCCACCTTCCTGTGGTCTAAGCCCCACATCCCCAAGTTCCTTTGCTCTCACAGCCCAGTGCTTGGAGCTCCATGCAAAGCATTCATCTTGCAGCATGACTCTCAGGTGACCCTGATGCGCGGATCAATGAAGGGAGCCCCAGGGTAAAAGTAGAAATAGGATTCTCCCCTCCCTCGCCAATCATCTCCACTGGGGAGCAGGCTGCTTGATATGGACGCAGACTGGCTTTGCAGAAAACATGAGGAAGGTGTGTGTGTGTGTGTGTGTGTGTGTGTGTGTGTGTGTGTGTGTGTTTTCTCATGGTTCACAGCTGATGAAGATATACACAGTGGGCAAGGAAAGGTGTGCTTTGCCCATGTTCCCTTTGGTAGGAAGGGGATGTGCTCCCAGCGCTAATCTCAAAGCACAGAGGGAGCAGCAATGTGAACTGGTCTGGAGAGGGAGTCCCCAGCACAGCCATACAGGAGAACCATAGGGGCCAAGATACACTGTCTATCTCAGCCCGCTGCAAGACCCCACCCCACCCCACACACTGTCATGATCTTTTAGGAAAACCCAGCTTCTGGTTGCAGGCAATCTCAGTGCCTAATTTTAAGGTAAACATAATTACTACTAGTACAATCCCAGTTTGAATGTAAGAAAAAACACTGAGGAAGAACAGAAAGATAAGGGGGGCATAGGAAAGGAAAGCACCCCCCGGTCCCAGAGTTCGAGTGAAGCCTCTTACCAATTAAAGCAAAACCAGGAGCAGAACAACTCAGTACTGCTGTGAAGTCAGCCTAGAAATGACAGGCCTTTCCTACAGAATGGTTACACCACGGGTACAGTGATAGGTAGGCTTTCGTTGTTTTCCCTGGACATCTGAGAGTCTCAAACAAGACTACTCGATCTGTTGACAGAAAAGACAATGCACCCTTCTGCATTCCCTAGGATTTTATCAACCGTAATCCTATCATGAACACCACTATAATCTCTTGTGACCTCATCTAGATTCCCCAGTCACAAGTTAAAGGTGGTACCTTCCATCTCTAACAAATCCTCTGTATAACAAGCGTGGAAAATGGTGAACTGTGGCTCTTCCTTAGGTTTTACCCACTCTTGAGTATGTCTTAATCTCGTGACTATTCCTTGACAAGTCCACACCCATGGTCCTCACACCCACGTTCTTAGGGGCGTCTTACTATCTCCTGGGTGCCTCCCTTTCTCTAGATCTTTGAATCTCAGTCTAAATTGTTGAATCTTTATTAAAGCCTACCTCTCCGTCATACGCTAACCCTAAATTTCTTTTCTACAATAAAGTCATGAACCCAGGTTTGGCTGGAGTTGAGGTTCTGAAAGAGCAGGTAATTCCTCAAGCCATTGCAGGTAACAGTGGGAAGCTGTGCCTCCTGCCTCTGTTCTCCCAAATACTAACAACTCATGCAGATACCCTACACATCACCCTGTTTTCTAGTGACTTTGATGTAGCCATCAGAGTACCCAGAATCATGACACAAAGCATCCCTCATCCTACGCCACACCACATAGGCTACCTTACCCGTAGATAGACTTCATGTCCTCAGGATATATTCCATCAGTCTGCATGGGCTAATTAAGTCACTCAGTTCCAATCCTTTGTACTTTCCAGGGTTCCACAGACTTCAAAAGAGTTATTGACCTGTGCTAAATGAACCAAAATATTCACATTCTTAGCAGAATTCACTCCAACCATGAAAGATTTCAAAAAAGACTCCTGCAGAAGATCTACATGGGGCTAGGGTGCTTTGATAGGGATCACACTAGGGGCCTCTGGGGATGCTGTGTACCACATGTTCCTAACTCGGTAGGTATGCTGAGCTAGACACAGCCCACAGAGGCACTCCCTGTGCTGGGAAAGGAAACAATCTTATAACCTGGAAGGAAATACTGGGGAGACGCTCAGAACAGTGCAGAGCTCTCAAAGAGAGAAAACGGAAGCAGCTGGACTCAGCCAGGTGGATTTGTGACAGACATTCCCCTTCAGATCAGCTTAGGCAACAGTGCAGCTTCCAAAGGTTCAGATGAGAAAGTGGAAGGCACCAGACAAAGAAGTAGTGGGAATAAAGGTCAGGAACACCTACAGACATGAACCCCTGGAGGAAAGGGGGCCTCTCTGCCATGGGTGGCTAGGGCATATGCAGGCCACAGACCCAAAGCCTGGTCCCGGCTTTTGTAAGCCACGCCTTTCTGGGCTTCGAAGGTCCACTGGGGCAAATGTACCAGGTACAAAGAGCTACAGTGTCTGATGCTTTGCAATTAGTGACTGAGTCTTCGTCAGTGCTAGCTTAAGTCCTGGAAGGCTCTGGGTGGGTGGAGAGCCTCAGTGTTGGCAGCTTGGGTGATTATGAGGCACAGCCTCCTTAAGATGATGGCAGCAGAGGAGCTGACTGAAGTGCCAAGGAAGTCAGTGAAACAGAAGCACAGAAAAACATGCACTGCGCAGGCTACGGCTAAAGGAAAGCAAACACCACCTGCTTCACGTGCTTTGTCGCCAGGGCAACCTTCAACCTTCCCATTTTACAGGTGCAGACCCTGAAACTCATTTAACCTAATGAGCATAGAGTAGGCCTAGGGCTCTGTGCTCCAGATCTCCTGTTCAGTCTCACAGGATCATGTACCCCTTCAGGAGGGTACCATCCCATCAGCCCACAGGATCTCACTGTTCTTCCTCCTGTTTATTACACACGTGATGGACTTCATTCTCTTGTGGCAAGGAGCTGCTAGTGTGTTCTCAGCAGCTCAGCCCTGAAATAATCGCACAGTAACTATATTATTTAAAACACTGCTTGGCCCATTAGCTCTAGCTTCTTATTGGCTAATTCTTACATCTTAATTTAACCCATCTCCATTAATCTGTGCATCACCAAGAGGTTGGAGCCTACCAGCCAAGTTTTAGCATGTCTGTCTCTGGCAGTGACTCCGTAGCTTCTCCCTGAGTCTGTCTCATTTTTCCCAGTATTCAGTTTAGTTTTCCCTGCCTATCTATCCTATCAGGCCAAACCAGTGTATTAACCAATGGTATTCACAGCTTACAGAGGGGAATCCCACATCATTCTCTGACACATTTGTAGGTCTCCATCTCTTCCATTGCACAAGGAATTATCCCTGAGCTGTTCAGTATTGGGTCCCCAGCACTGAAGCTGGATCAGCCACAGGGCAGACTCAGGCTCAGCAAGTGCTGGCTAAAAGAACAGCTAAGCAATGGGTGGATGGGTGGATGAGTATAAGGAATCTTTCTCTATCCTACGAGCCAGCTCCCAAATGACACCAAGACTCCTCATTAATTATGAAAGTTCAGCCTATAGCATAGGCTGGTTCCTAACTAGCACTTATAACTTAAATTAACCTATTTCTATTAATCTCTGTGCTGCCGCATGGCTCGTGGCTGCTACCTCTCCTATTGTACATCATGTTTGTTCTTTGTCTCCTGACGTCTGGCTCACGACTCCTCCTTTCTTCTTCCCAAAGTTCTCTGTCCCTAGAAGTCCCATCTAACCTTTTTTCTGCCTAGCTGATGTCCATTCAGCTCTTCACTGAACACAAGGCCTGACACATGGCAGGTAAACTTTCCCATGATGGAACTTTGTCCCAGAATTTTGGAATGACCCTCTTTGGTGGTAGCAACTTAAGAGGTCACTTCTTCAGCTGACATCTCATCCAGAAATGTCATACCTATTCCTCCCCAAGGGGGAAAATCTCATGTGGCTCTAGCCTGACTCACTCAGATGTACAGAACGACACGAATCAACACGCATGGTGACAGCCACTGTGTATCAACATCCCATTCCACATTAGCTGTCGCACCCATGAATGCTGAAAGAACAAGAAACACCATGGACAAGTGACAGCCATCCCAACACACTGAATGCATAATAACTGGGGTGATATTAATTTACTCAACTCTAATGAAGAGAGTTCATGTAGGAAAATGGTTACAGCCATCTTCCTATGCCAGCTACATAAGCAATGAAAAACCATTGCCCCATCCATTTGTTCTTTTGTAAACATAGTTATAGACTATCAAGGGAAATACACCACTAACTTATCTTCAAGTTTGGCCAGATACAGAGAAAGGAACTTGGATCACATCTCTAACTAGGAGCCCATTATATAGACATAGTCACAGGCCCTGTCCAGTCCCTTTGAGTCAAACACTCTAGGGCGTAAACTACTCCACCTTTTTTTAATAAGCCTTCCATGGATTTTAACTCCTCCACTAAGCCAACTGTACTGGGAAGTCTTAAGATAGTTCAGGTATTAACTCCCCGTTCCTGAAATTCTGATTGGATCAAGTCAGGTGTGGTGTCACACACTTAAAATCTTAGCACTTGGGAAGCAGACACAGGAGGATTGCAACAGATTCAAAGCCACCCGTGGCTACACAGTAAGACTCTGGCTCAAAAATAAAAAAGTTCCCAGGCAGGGGTGGGAGGGAAGAAGACCTCCCAATAAAGGGTAAGGTGTTGTGGAATATTATTTTAAGTAAACAAAGATGGGCTACATTGGTTTCTGCTGCATCTGTTTAATTCTGTAAAGAAGTATTGCATCTGTTTCACCTTGCCTGCCTAAGTCACCTGACTGGTCTAATAAAAAGCTGAATGGCCAATAGCTAGGCAGGAAAGGGATAGGCAGAGCTGGCAGGAAGAGAAAATAAATAGAAGGAGGACTCTAGACTGGAGAAGAGAAGGAAGACAGAGAAGAAGGAATGAGGGAGAAGAGAGAAGAGAATGAGCAAGATGCCCTACAAGAAGCCAGACAGCAGCCAGGCAGCAGACATGAGCAGTACTGAAAGAAATATATACATAAGGAAAAAAAAGTAAAAAACCCTGAGGTCAAAGATAGATAAAGAGAAACAGGTTAATTTAAGTTAAAATAGCTAGCCAGAAAAAAAGTCTAAACTAGGCCAAGCATTCATAACTAATAAAAAGTCTCTATGTCATGATTTGGGAGCCGGTTGGTGGCCCAAAAGAAAGAGCCTGGTACATTTAGGAAGACTAGAGAGTACGGAGGAGAGCAGGCAATTGGATGAATGCCATTCTGGGCCCTGATCAAGAGAGCCTCCATTTGCAATGGATAAGAGCTAATGCGAAGGCTTACAGCTGGTTAACTGCTGAGAGGAAGTGACTGTTGAGTGTTCTGCTCTAAATGGGACATCGACATTACACATTCCAAAGCTCAGGGAGCATCACCGAGGGGGGCGGGGCAGAAAAAAGTGTAAGGGCTACAGGATGGGAAGAGCACTGTGGAATGCGTCTCGTCTGGACGTGACATGGACGTTGGACCCATGGACTCAGAGCAGGAGCAGTTACCTGCATAAGAACTGCACAAGATGGGGCCCCCCAACATGTCATCATGAGTGGAGGCAGAGCTTTGGAGGTCCCCCTCTCCCTGGGGAGCAGTTCATGTTTGTATAATAGTTTTATACATGTTATATATAATTATATACCATGTTATATAACATATGTAATTATATATTATATAACATATATGCTTACAATAAGAAGGAAGGAAGAAGGATGCTACCTGGTTCCCCAGCTGAACCTACAGTCAGCTACTGTAAGAGACAGGATTCAAGGGTCCTGACTTTTTCCAGCACAGACCTGTGCCCACTGGCTGCCCACCTGCCTTGCTTCCCTGCACACCGGCAGCCCCATCTTCTCTTGAGCTGCACACTCAGCCCCTGAACGGACAGACCAGCTTGTCACAGCCACCACCTCATTTTCAAAGGCTCCGAAATGTCGCGCTTCTTCACATTATTCTTGTGTTAGTTATGACTATTGGCGTCATCGCTCAATCAAATCAGGAGATTTTACAGGCCTGCTGTGAGAATCTCTCTGGATGTCTGCACCTTTGGCTGAGGGGCATCTCAGGCAGTCACATCTGCTATCTGGAGGAAAACACAGAACTAAATGAAAAGAGGAAGAAGCAGCAGAACCCAGGGCCTGGCAGCTGAACCTCGGCTCAGCCCACCCACCCGCCATGTCGCTGATCTTCATAGATGTCCACTCCACAGCAGCAGCTTGGGTTTGTGCCCAGGTCACCAGTCAGGGCCAGGTGGTATGTCTTACGTGTACTTGCAGTAATGTGCTTCTTAACGTTTACATGCTGGGAATATTTCTAGTGACAATATACTGTTCAGAGTCCCATTTGTAGGCAATGATCCTTCTTGTGTTGTTTGGTTGGGAAAATATACAAAGGATTACTCTGAATTTATTTCATTTAGAAATTAATATGCATGGCACATATCAAGTATATTTAAATATTCTTATCTGTGTAGGAAGCAATTGTTTTTACTCAGCCTAGGGGCAGTACTTGGCAGACGGGTGAATGCTAGAGCCTCTGCTGTCATTTTACATCTCAAAGGGACCCATGACATCTACTACCAGCCCAGGCACACACGTGTGTGTGTGTGTGTATGTGTGTGTGTGTATGTGTGTGTGTATGTGTGTGTGTGTATGTGTGTGTATGTGTGTGTATGTGTATGTGTGTGTGTATGTGTGTGTATGTGTGTGTATGTGTGTGTGTATGTGTGTGTGTATGTGTGTGTGTGTATGTGTGTGTATGTGTGTGTATGTGTATGTGTGTGTGTATGTGTGTGTATGTGTGTGTATGTGTGTGTGTATGTGTGTGTNNNNTGTGTGTGTATGTGTGTGTGTGTATGTGTGTGTGTGTGTATGTGTGTGTATGTGTGTGTGTATGTGTGTGTGTGTGTGTGTCTGAGGCCAGAGGTCAATCTCTAGTGTCAGTTTAATTTCTGAGACAGGTTCTCTCACTGACTCTTAGCTCACAGATTCATTGAGTCTTAGTAGCCAGTGAGTGCCAGGGACCCTCCTGGCTCCACTTGCCCAAAGCTGGGTTACAGGCACATGCCACTGCAACTGGTTCTTGGCATCCAGCACAGATGGCAAACTCATGCTAAAATGGCAAACACTGTGCCAACTGAACCATCTCCCTGGCTCAGGACCCCTCACATTTCAACAACAAAGCAGTCCCTGTTTTTCTTTTCAGAACAAAATTACATGTGTAGAACTATTTTTCCTTTAAAAACAAAGTATGTTTGCCAGCATGGTAGTGTATGCCTTTAATCCCAGCACTTGGGAGGCAGAGGCAGGTAGAACTCTGTGGGTTCAAGGCCAGCCTGGTCTACAAAGCAGATTCCAGAACAGCCAAGGCTACAAGAGAAACCTTGTATTGAAAAAACAAGGAAAAGAGTATGTTCAATATATGTGCCCCAAAATGTTGGTGTGTATAAAGACAAAAACAAATAAAATCTTTCAGTATCCTAGAGTACTAGCCCTGCCTTTTGCAACACTGCCGACCAGAGTAAGCTGGTTCGGTGCTTGGCATCATTGGTTCCCATGGCAGACTGTCGTCTTCCTTCCACACATTTGCCTACTTTTCATCTCCTTTCCTGATTCCACCTTACACACTACACACTAGATGATGTCACACCCGATTGCTGTGTTCACCACACAGAAAGGTACACTAAAGCCTGATTTAATTGCTGGTAATTAATGAACTTCTTCCAGGAAGCCCTTGACATCCTCGTTCCTGGGGTTGGTGATCTTGCCAGGTGCTCTCATGGCCAAATGGAAGCATTCCCACCTTCCCCAGCACTGATCATGTGACCCAAGTCAGTTCTTTTCTTTCTCCCTCAGGACTGGACACTCTGAGAACAGAGGCATGTTCTACACAATTTGCCATGGTGATAAATACCCTGGACCTATCTGCTCACATTCTCTCTAACAGAGAGAAACCCTGTATGCTGTTCTGTAAACCGTCTTGTTTTCAGCCTAGACAGTGGGCATATTGCCATGTCACCCGGCAGAAGTCTGTCGTGATTTCAAACAGCTGCTTCCACTAAATGGAAATCCTCAGACCTTCAATCGGGTTTGGACTGGCCACTGCCGTGACATGCTATAAGATCACATGACTATTTTGGAATATTCATGCTATGACATGCTATAAGACTACATGACTGCTTTAGAGCACTCAGTACAGTGGAAGTCACTGGGCTCTGAGTAAGAAGGCGATCACTCTGTTAGAAGGAATTCTAATGTAAGACTTTTCTTCTGTCTTCCCTCTGCTCACAGCGTCTTTTCTTATATAGTATGCTTTGTGAATGAGTAAAGAATGTCTCTCATAGGCTCGTGTATTTGAACCCTTGATCACCAGCTGGTGATGCTGCCTGGGGAAGTTATGGAATCCTCGGGAGATGCACCCTTGCTGGGGTGTATGTCACTAAAGGGGAGTTTAGAACATTTATAGTCTAGCTGTACTTGTGTCCATTCTCTCTCTCCCTCCCTCCTTCCTCTCCCCCCTCTCTCTTTCTATGTTTCCTATGTGCAGATAAATCCACTTCCTGCTCCGACCACTGAAGCACAATTAATAAACATTCAGGGTTAGAAATTGGGGTTCAACTTGAAGATCCAAAAAGCAAAACAGCCAGCTACTGGCTCTTACCTCGTCCTCAGTCTGAAATAAAGATCCTTCCTCCAGGAATCTCAGAATGAGACTGTTTGTTGAGAGCTGTTTCCTCCCATTTTATAATCCTCTCTAGGGCTGGGATTAAAGGCATGAACCACCCAGTTTCTATAGCAACTAGTGTGGCTACTGGGATTAAAGGTGTGTGTTACCATAACCTGGTCTAAAGGCTGGCCAGTGGGATTGTTTTACTCTGTGATCTTCAGGCAGTCTTTATTTATTAAAATACAATTGAAATGCCATTACATATCACCATTCAACACCCTCCTCACCATTGGTGGCTATAGCTCCCTAGAATATACACAAGCCAAATAAACTCTCCCTTAAATTGCTTCGGGTCATAGCATTTAATACCACCAACAGAAAAGTAACAAATTCACTGTGTAGTAACTACATTTTAATGGTTGGCATTGTGACCTTGTAGCCTTTGGCTATAGAGTGTATTGTTTTAAAGTTAGCGAGTGAGTACCTGTATAATAGACCTCAGTGATCTTGCCCCAGGGAAGGACATTCCCTATGACACTTACTTTGCACAGAAGATAACACGAAATACAGAACCCACATCTGACCCCGACTGCACAGAGTTCTCTAGACACTGAGAACATTCTAGCCCAGGGGCCAGACAGTCTGCACGTCTCCCACCAGATTGAGTTCCCAGGGTTCTGATTGTAAACTCGCAACTGTACTAGGTCCTGTGGAGAGGGTAAATAGTACTTCTTGCTCCAGGACAGCTTATATTTTTGTACTGACAAGATATTCGTGCCCAAAGCTTTGGGTCTCAAATCCAACCCACAGGAGATGCAAACAGGCCTGCATCCATCAACAACCCTGACCCACCATCTGGAAAGTCATTGTGACGGCACTGGGAAGACGATTTGAGGGTGTGGACGGAAGTGACTAATCTCTCAAAGACCAAAGGGTCTTCAAGGCTATTGAATCAAGGCACGCGGCAACTAGGCAAGTCTGTAGAGAGTCATCTTTCTCCAAATTTAAGCATTATCATTGCTGCATTAGGATGCAGACATGCAGCTGAGTAATAACTGGAGATTGGGGGCCATGAAACAGTGTGACAATGACATCCATATTTACATATTCCTACCCCTGGGGTGCTCAGAGGCTCTTGACAATCTTCTAAACTATAAATGAGAATCTCTGTAACGCTCACAACATTCATCTCCAGAAAAGACACAATGAGGGTCAAATAAAATGGGAAGCCCAGCTTCCTGTACTTACCCTAGATTCAGCTTCCCTTGTTTGTTTGTTTGTTTGTTTATTGCCTCTGCATCTTGATTGTCTGCTGTGGAAAAACAGTCTATGTTTAAGAGATTCTCAAGGGGCCACTAATACTGTACAATCAGCCCCAGGGTTGGGTTGGAGCCACTGGACTATTTCTGACAAGAGGTATTATTTGTGTCACTCCTGGGTTGAGGCAATTACAACAAATCCTTCTGGGCTGGAGAGACAGCTCAGCGGTTAAGACAAAATACTGCTCTTCCAAGGGACTCAAGTTCTGTTCTCAGCATCCATAGCAGGCAGGCTACAATCGCCCACCACCCCGGCTCCGGGGATCCTACGACCTCTGCTGGCCTCCATGGGCACCTGCACTCATGTGGACATACTCACCACAGACATAAACAGAGATAAAAAAATAAAATATAAAAGTAAATAATCTGTTAAAATAAACTAAATATTCTTCCATTGCTGTAGAGACCCAGGAGGTCACGTGAGACCTGGGAGACTCACAGAGCAGGGACAGAGAGCAAGAGCCCCAGTCACCAGGTGGGTGACGACTCCACCTAGGATTCCTCAGACTCTGTGTGTGGAATAAAATATGCCGTACGAAGCCGCTGTGGTAGGGAGGTTTATTTGTTGTCTCAGCCCAGCTCTCCCTATCCTGCCACACACACTCACTCCATCAGCCATTCGTGCCTCAACAGTCCTTACTGGCAAAGTCCCAATTATTCCCAATCCCCTCCCCAGCTGGGCACATGCGCAGAGGGACTTCCTCTCCAGCACCAAGATGAATCCTGAATTGATCTCGCTCAGAAGCAGTCCTTGATGGATTGGGTAAGCTCTGGTAAGTGATCTAACTCTGAATGGGGAGAAAGAAAGCTTTTGGTAATTTCGGAAAGGTTTTCTTGAACATGGTCCCTACACACACGGACAGCTTTAAGGCTAAGGACAGAACCGACATGGCAAAGATGGTGAGGAAGACAGAAGAAAAGCCAGAGTTCTTGACGTAACTTAGGAGCCATGAGCTAGCCAGCCAGCTCTGTCACTAATTAAGTCTGCCCTGAATTAGCCGCTGTCTGAAAACTGCCTTCCAGTGGGGTCGGCAGTTTCAACCCAGCTGCACTTTAGATGGGGGAGAGCTTGAGGTCTAGCCTTGCCTCAGTCACACCCCAAGATTCTTTGCTAATCCAGCCCCAGGAGACAGCCCACTGTGGGATAACAAAGACAGCAAACACACCTGTCTGATAGCTGTGCCCCGGGAGCACCAGCCTTGGGACTTCATCTGCACATTAGCACACGCGGCACTGCCACAAGGCAAAGTCTTACTGTGTACTGAAAGCTCAGACCCTACACAGCAAGAAAAACAAAGAAAACGTAGGTCACCTCCCCTACTGCCTCTGTCACTGTTCCGGGGTTTCACCCTCTGTAAACTGTGGCGACCACTCCCCAAATTACAGTTGTCCCTTCCCATCGTCTTGCTTTCTAGGACTGGAAGGAGGACCCTGACTTTCTTTGGCTCCCCTGTGTGCCTCTCCCTGACAGAGCAAGGCGATCAGAGTCCAGAGAGCTCCGGTACCACTCAGAACCAGAGCCCACGCTGTGAATCAGCCTGAAGCCACAAGGCTACGCACCTATCTCGTGGTACTAGGCCCATGCTTCTCAGGTATGGCGCAGCATGCCATGACACACACATCAAATGGGGAAGGGAACTTGCTTGGAATGGCAAGGAGATGGCACGTGCAGGAGCACAGGACTGGTGGCTGGGTGTGAAACCATGCTGCACTTCTTCAGATTCTAAGCTAAATTCAGTTATGCACTTGTTCCCAGTCCCTCCTGTGTTATAGTTCAAATTGTAAATATTCTACCTGTTTGCTACAATATGCTTATTCACTGCCAGCCCAGAAAATATGGAGCCAAGCTATAGTGAACGACAAACACAAGCCAAGATGAACCTTCATCCTGTAGGCTGATTTTCACAGGCATTTAATCACAACCACAAACAGCTGATTAACACCGAAGGTCTCCACATGTTAACCGTGGGTTAGCAAGGCATCTCTGCTGGTGGGTATGGGCCTGCTGACCCAGGGGTCCCTGAGAGTACGCGTGGGCGTCCACACTCAAACGAACTAGTGTGGGCCTTTTCACAAGTCAGAAGCAGTGCTGCAGAGAAGCAGACCTACACAAGACTCTTGAGGTCTAACCTTGGAACTGAGAAAGCATCACGTTCTCCGCATTCTGTTAAGGACAGTGGGCCATATGCTCCGTGTAGTAAGACAGAGGCTCTGCTCTTGAGTGAAAGAAGCTGAGCCACGTGACAATGGAAATGGGATTAGGGGAATCGTTCTCTCTTTCATAGCTTACCACTAGATTCCATCATGGCTGCACGCTCAGTCACCATCACTAAAACCCTAGCTTCAGTTCTGCTGCTGTGAGAAAACACCCTGACCCAAAGCAACTTTGGGGGAGGGAGGAGGGCGATTTGACTTGCTCTTCTAGGTGACAGTCCATCACCGAGGGGCACAAGCAGTTAGTCACATAGCATGTGCAGTCAAGAGCAGGCCCAGCAGTCTGCTTGCTTCTGCTCACATCTAGTCTCCTGTCCTTCATAATTCAGGAACCCATGTCCAGGGAATGAGGCCACCTCCAGGGGACTTGGTCTTCTCACATCAACAACAACCAGGCACGACCTACAGACATGACCACAGACCAACCCGATTTAAACACTTCCCAAACTGATGCTTTCTTCTTGGACAATTCTAGATTTTTTTCCCTGTTGACAGTTAAGAATTAGCCAGACAGCTCTCCCATAAAAAGTCTGAAGAGCTCGGTGCCACGGCATTGTAAAGCGCTAAGGTGGCTTTTGTGAAACTGCAAGCGGTACCTCTCGAAGAGTAAGAGATTTTGTGGAGCGGCCACTTTCCCTTTGGAGAGCTGACAGTTCCCCCAGAATGAAGAGGCCAGTACCACGGCGACAACTCAAAACTCAGACTGTAATTTCCAAGAGAGCTTCCTCCCCAAATACCATCTCACAAAGTCTGCTCCATGACCTTGAACTCCCAGGACAAGCACACTTCATTTTCCTTCAAATTACCTCCAAACAATTACATTCGTATTGTACTCATGGCCAGCAATCTGAAACCCAGTCCTCCAATTTGTCTGTAATGCGGAACATGACTAACTCATTCCCCAGGCGACTATTTCTGCCTGGTGTGTGTGGTGACATCTTTTAAACAGATTCTCACAAATTGGACTTCTTACGGGATATGTAAAGTTGTTTAGCATGTAGAGAGAAATCCGGGCCGCAGAAACCCAAGTCCACCAGCAACATGCGCTAGATCACCGTGCCCCCACGCCTCCAACCAGACGGAATGGGACAGACCCACAGTAGTTCTGCTCCTCTCTACTGTCGCCCCTGCCACCCCAAGTGTCCCAAAGACCCATGAGATGCTTATCATTACTTTTATATCCCTATGGCAACAATACTCTATAGGAAGAATAAAATGAATGGACAACTGATTTTGACTCGTGACTTCGGATCTCAGTCTAGTACCATGGGGAAGGGACCTGGAATAGCATGGCAGTGGGAAGGAGTGGCAGAGGCTCTTCTCTGCACAGCGGAGGAAGGAGAGAAACCGGGACCTGAACAGGGGGCTGCCTATATTCTTCAAGGGCACACTCTAGAGATCTAATGCCACCAGCTAGGTTCCACCTCCTAAGGGTTCCACAATCTCCCAAAACAGTGCCACCAGCTGGAGGCCAACTGTTCAAAAGACAAGATTTGAGATTCAGACCATCACAACATACTATTGGGAGTATACCAGGCTTTTGGGGTGTCAAAATAAAGGGAAATTTTGCCTACAAAAAGCAACCCAGTTATCTTTTTCCATATGTTCCTTCTATTTTCTTCCAAATAAAAATACTAAAATATTGGAAGTATTGTATGTGTTGAGAATCTAGAAGCAAGAGGTGAACTTCCATTGTCTTCTCCATCACTCTGCTCCTTGATTTTTAAGACACAGTCAGCTCTAGGGGATCTGACACCCTCTTCTGACCTCCCAGAGCACACAAATCTATGCAAGCAAACTGTCATACATACAAGATAAAATAAGTCAATCTAAAAATAAATTTCAAATCAATAATTTATTGCTATACAGATGAATCTAAATCCTTCTGTGGATGAAGAATGTATCCGTAACAAGCGCTAGGTTGGTTGGGGTCTTTATTCATGCACAGCCTCTCATTAGCCCCTCAGCTAGATGTGGATAATAGGCACAATTGTATTTCTTGTCTTTGCAAAACTACATCTACAGTTCTTCTAGAAAATGCAAACCCCTACGAGTTTGGGAATCTCCAGAGAGCAAAGAGTGAATGTATTTAAAAGATGGCAATACAGCAGCAATCAAAATTGCACAGCAAACAATAACAAGATAAAAACAAAGGAAGAACTGAATCAAATTCTATCTGGGTATGCAGAAAATGCTACGCTGTTAAGTAGTTTTAAGGGGAATAGAGATGGATGTGTTTCTGAAGGGGTGGTTTCAATGTTAACAGGAATTATGAATACATTATAAGAGTATGGAAGAGACCTTAGCTTTCTCAGGCAAAGGGACATTGTCTTCTGCTGACTTAGCCCATTATGATATAGAAGAGGCAATTAAACCGAAATGAACATGACAGAAAGATAATTGCACATCATATCTAAAACCTATTCCTAGCACCACCACCAATAAAAAAGATCTAAATTTCAAACTAATAAAGACAAGTAGAAAGAAAAGTAGTAAGTATTTCAACACAACTCATTATGCCAAGCCACATGGATAACTCAATAAAACAAAACTAGCTCCAGGTGCCTGGCTTTATACATCATCAGAGAATTCATTTGCTTCAGTTCGCCACCTACAACAGAGCAGAGTTTATTAGAGACACCTGGGAAATAAGACGTCTCAAGAGGTTTCGTAGCTGAAGCTCCTGGTCAAAGCTCACCACCAAAATTGAATCAGCGATGAGTGATGATTTCTATGGTCTTGTTTGTAAAAAGAAAGTAGGAAAGAGGCAAAGAAAATGACAAGAATGCAGTGGGCTTCCTAGGGCAAAGGGAGTCTGTTAGGACCA